ATCTAAGTTTGGCATGGATGATGATTGACATGTTACCCAAGAGTTCAAGTGAAAAAGAGCATTGTGGGTTTTTTTTTCAGTTTACCTAATGTTTTTTAACCAATTGTTATTATGTTTGTTTTTCTAAGTTTTCATCGATAGGTGATTTCCCTGATGTAATTTTTCAACCAACAATTGCTGTGTTTGTATGTTTTTGTAAAATTGGTCAATATGTTTATTTACTGTATAATATTTTCCTGCTAATCCTCAAATTAAATGTCTCTAACTATCTAACTTTATTCTTTCGTATTTGATATTTCTTTTAATCAACTAGTGTTAAACACATGTATATAACCGCATCTGTGTGTGTGTATATATATATTATATATATATATATATATATATGATAACAATAGAATTCCATATTATATTTTATTTATCTCATTTAATGATTTTTACTGTAAAAAAATCAAACATTGACATACTACACCATAAAATATTAATAAGAGGCCTTTTGAAATGTTTTAAATTGAATTATACCAGAGCAACACGAATATTTTAGGTTTGACAAAGATGTAACCTTCCTATTTTTCTTTTGTTTTGGGGGTTTTGCTAATCGATCAAGCTTGAGAATGTTTATGAGTTAGTGAGTTACATGCTTTTTTTCATGAGGGGTATCTTTCAAACTTGTGTATTGGGCATTGCATCTTATTTAACTTTACTTTTGGGTTACCTTTTGATATTCCATCATAATTCTCTTTGGGTTTGTTTTTTTTTTTTTATTAAAAACCACCACGAATCTTAATATCTTGAATAATAAGCTTTATAATGTTCTAAGAAATGAAATATGTTCATATACGATTGTTGTTTTCTTGATCTTTAATTTTGTAGATATTGTGTCATTTTTTGAAGAATTTAATATGAAAATATCTAAAACATTTAAAATGCATAAAATTTAAAGAACAAATAATAAATAAACAAAAGAATTGAGATGGATAATGTATATTTTAGATAGTCAGAAAGATATACATAGGTTGAACCTAACATTACAACGCAATCAACAATAAACCAACAACTATCAAAAGATCTATACTTTTACTACTGGTCCTTGAAATATAATAATTAATTTAAAACTAACTAAAATATGTTTATCCAAATATTTGTTATATGACATGTATTGTGATATTTCTAAGTCCAATTCACCTTTACACTCAAAATGGAAAATTTTATTCTTCATTGGCACAAAACCAATAATTAAGGCATGTATAGATGCTCAATTGTGGTCTTCTTTACAATTCGAATCATTCGTTGATCACCTGTGCAATTATGGAATTTGTAGTTTTCATTACAATTTGAATAATTTGTTCACAACTTTACATATATACATAGTCTTTACAAAGCAGCAGCAACAGCAAGCATACAGAGTTACAAAACAGAGCCAGGTATGATTTTCTTTAAATTTTTTTATATATAGGAATCTATCACTTGTGTTTACTGTTTTTCGTTTCATATCTATCAATCCTTATTGTATCTAATGTATCTGGAAACCACGTTGGCTTTGGTACTTTTCGGGGATTGTTATTGTCTATTTTTATATGAAATCTTTCATATAAATTCAATTGAAATGTTAATCGATAATGCCCCTGATCTCATTAATGAACAGTGATATATGTGTTTCCAACTAGAGATCAGTTTAACTCTAATATATCCCCTAATTCTATGATTGTAAGATTCTCTTTCCAACTACAGGAATATCATATAATATAGTTAAATACCAATATTTCTAATATCTCATATGCATTTACAATATCCTTAATATACAAGTTATTCACTAAAATAACTATATTTGAAAGGAAAGTACATCATGATAATTAACCACATGCTTAATGTCTATCATAAAATGATTACATAGTTCGTGAAACAAGGTTCACTAATTTGTCAACTTACTTTTTGCCATTATTCTTTTTCAGTAATTCATTTCGCGAAAAAAAGTATGATAATTCGCCAACTCACCTAGTTTGTGAAAAAAAGTGTGCTAATTCGTGAACCCCGACTTCCTTTTTCAGCAATTTTATAATATCATCAATGTTTTAGAAGATATATTACAAAGTTACCTAATCATCAAAACTAAATATTAGTTACAAATGATAACAACTGAACACTTATAAAAAGTTCTGATCACTTATAAAAAGTTCTGATCACTTATAAAAAGTTCGATGCTTAATCGTATACAAAAAAAACTTGCCTAAATGTGAACAATACTAATAAGATAATTATCCTTCTAAGTTATTTTCTCGTTTTAATATGCCACATATACGCCAAGTAAGATGTAAGCTAAAATAGTTGTTCACAATGGTAACATTTGAACATTTTTAACAAGTTTATTGGTCATGTACAAAGAAAATTGACTAAATATGAGCAAAACAAATAAATAATTACCCTGGTGATTTTCCCTCAAAATAGATTTTTGCTAAAATGGGAACCGAAAGAATGTTATTAAGTTTGAGCGAGCATTTATGTAAATTTATTTGGGAATAGCCACTATGAGAGAAATGTTAAGAGATGTTTATTTCCCTTGTATGACCTTTTCACATTCGGTATAAAAACTTAGGGAAAATGATTTAGGAGGGTAATTATTTGTTTGTTTTATTCACATTTAGGCAACTTCTTATTTTTCTCTACACGATTGACAACTAACTTGTTAAAAGTGTTCAAAAGTTACTGAACTTGTTAAAAGTGTTCAAAAGTTACCATTGTGACAGACTATCTTAGGTTACACCTTGGCGTATACATGACGAATTAAAACGGGAAATGACTGAGGAGGGTAATTATCTATTTTTTTGTTCACATTTATGCAACTCTTTTTTGTACACAATTGACCATCAATCCTGTTAAAAGTGGTCAAATTCCATTTATGATGAACAATGAGTTTTTTTATATTATTTTTTTTATTTTGATAAACCAATTATTATCGATTATGAATTATATAATAACATCAAAAGACCATTTATCCACTTGCTTATTTTAATACTCATTTTTTTTTTCAATCCAAATGCTTATGGTGATGAATACTCATTATGAATTATCTAATACATGCAATCTTTTCTCCGTAAAGATGTATAAATATAAATGTTGTTCTATATATGGTTTACGATGGAAAATGGTTATATTTGATATATTTTTTGATGCTCTTATATATATGATTTTATGATGTCTACCTTTGTATGACTTACTAAGTTTTCTATTTGAACATATTATTTTGACATATACCCATATTAGAAACATGCATCATTGTGCGGATTGAGAAGAAAAGATAGTCACACGAACATAGAGAAGACAGAAGATTTGCTGTATTTCTGTAGTAAATATCATAACTATTTTTCCATAACAAATTTTGTAGCTATTTGTTCCATAACAAATTCGTAGCTATTTTTTTCTTCTATAAAAAGATTCAACAAAGTTGAATTTATTAATAACCATATTTAAAAAATATAGTAAAAAAATTTAAAAGTAACATAAAGTTTTAGAAGATAGATTACAAAGTTACCTAATCATCAAAACCAAAAATATTAGTTACAAATGATAACATTTGAACATTTTTAAAAACTTCAATGCTTAATACAATTTTTTTTTGCCTAAATGTTAACAAAACTAATAAGATAATTATTCTTTCTAAGTCATTTTCTCGTTTTAATATGCCACGTATACACTAAGTAAGATATAACCTAAAATAGTTGTTCACAATAGTAACATTTTAACATTTTTAACAAGTTTATTGGTCAATATGTACAAACAAAATTGACTATAGGTGATTTTTCCTTAAAAAAGAAAAAGAAAAAGAGATAGAAGGATGATAACCAGGCCCAAGATTATTCGAGAGCCCATTTCTGTAAAATAAAGTCCATATGGGTCAGACAAGATTGAAGATCCCCTTTCATATGCTGACAATTCTTGAGATTCATATCATGCCTTCGATGGCCTGTAAAACCTAACAATTTCACAACGTGCTTTTGCCCCATTTAACTGAAGTATGGAACAATGCGATCGTAGTCATGGCAGGGGTAATCAACAAGCTTACGAGAGATGGTGTTGTCTAGCTGGGTCTCGAGGCCATCGATTAAACTGGAACCCGTCCTTTAATTTTTTCTGCTTTTTCTTTTTCCGGCATTACTCCTTCCCGCTGTAGGGGAAACTCCAAGGGTTTGAGAGTTTTTTCTGGTGGAGAGATAGACAAGTGATGGACGTAAGTGCAGAGTGAAAAAAGGGGAACCTTTTGAAAATGCCAACCACACTCCAGGCTCAACAAATGCGGATGTGGGGTTTTCAGCTTTTTCTTTTCTCATACAAGGCTCTTCATTAATCTATCCTCATGTGGAGACTTGTCCACAACAAGTTCCTTATAAAAGTCTCAATATAGTTCAAATTTCCCAAAATCTTTGTAGTTAGGTTTTGTCTTCGATTTCATCTTGATTATTTTTTACAGAATTGATAGAGTATAATCCATCATCAAAGTATGTGAGAATCACGTTTTCGTTGTTACCTAGGTATAAAAGGAGCATGTGTGCATGTTTGTGTTTGGCCTGTACAATGATATGTGTAAGATTTTTCAAATGTAATCTAATTATTCACATGATGATATGTTGAAATCAACAACTATTCCCACTTTCAATCATGTTAACGAAAGCAAAGTTTAAGTTCAAAAAGGAATATCCACAAGAAAATAAACAGCTTGTCTGAATTTACATGAGCATTAGTTTTCCTACATCTTCGTTTCCTACCAAATGTGTAATGTGTACTCTTCCTCTTCCCATGCAAGGTATCTAAGTCTTAGAATAAATTTTTTGAACACTATTTATCTATGGATTATAAATGATATTGGAAAAAAGATAGTTCTACTTCTACATACTAATAATAAAACATGAATGTATAAATGTATACTAAATCACAACTTTTGTTATTTCATGCCCTTTGTTGATTTGTTACATGGTTTGCAGGTCTCACAAAAAGCTACAATATAAAAAATGGCGTTTATATTTGAAATCATTGCTGGTCCAATTGTTGAATATTTGCTGCCTCCTGTCAAGAAAAATATGGGTTATCTTTTTTCCTCCACAAAACATGTGAGGAACATGAGTGCTAAAATGAACCAACTGGATGGTACAAGCATTGATGTCAAAAATCACAGGGACGCAAACAATATAAATAATCTAGAGATACCTACTCGTGTACCGAGTTGGTTGGAAGAGGTTGAACAGATTAGGAAAGATGCTCAAAGCATTTCAAGTAGTGAGAGTGGATGTTTTAACATAATAATGAGGTACCGAGTAGGAAAGAAGGCATTTAAGACTACTGAGGCGATTGAATGTCTTATTACGGAAAAACTTCAAATGAGCTGGAGTGATGCTCAAAAACCTCTTGGGAGAGTGAATTCTAAAAACGCATCCACTTCTGCACCTTCAGATGGTGATGCCCAAAATCACTTCAAATCAAGAGAGAAGCCTTTTAAGGATGCGCTCGGGTTCCTTCAACAAAATCAGACGAGCAAAGTGATAGCCCTATGTGGAATGGGTGGTGTGGGAAAAACCACCATGATGGAACAACTGAAAAAGAATCTGGAAGGTGAGAAAATGTTTGATTTGTTTCTAAAGGTGGTTATTGGGAAAAAAGAAACGTCTTCTATTCAGCAAGCTTTGGCAGAATGCATAAGTCTATGTCTAACTGAAACAGATCCAACAAGAAGGGCAGAACGTCTTGGCATAGCATTTACGAAGCTGGCAGAAGCTAAAAGAAAGGTTTTAGTGATATTAGATGATGTATGGGAGACGATCGAACTCAAAGATATTGGACTAAGTCCTTTTCCCAACAGCTTCAAGTTATTGATGACATCACGAAAGGAAAATACTTGCAAGCAAATTGCAGCAAAATGTAATTTTGATTTGAAAGTAGTTAGAGTGGAACTCATGGAGGAGCTCGAAGCACAGAATTTCTTTTGGAAAATCATAGGAGTTGCCAAACAAAATGATCTGGAGCTCAATCAAAGTGGAACAGAGATTGTGAGAGAATGTGGGTGTTTGCCCCTTGCCATTAATCTCGTTGCCAGTCGTCTTAAGTTTGAAGAAAAAGTTGCATGGAGAGATACACTTCGTCGTTTGAAGAATAAAGATCTTGATTATGTGCAAGAAAGTGTTAAGATAAGCTATGACTATATAAAAGAGGATGAGGAAAAAGAGATCTTTCTTCTTTGTGGCTTGTTTCCCGATGACTTTAATATTCCAATCGAGGAACTCACAAGATATGCATGGGGCCTACGGTTGTTAAATGGAGTTTCTACTATGGGAGAGGCTAGGGACGGGACAGAGACGCATGTGCAGAGTCTCAGAAAAGCAAATTTGTTGATGGATAGCGATTCCATTGGGTGTGTCAAAGTGCATGATCTTGTGCTTGATTTTGTTTTAGGTAGAGTTTCTAAGGGTAACCATCCATGGGTAATCAATCATGGTGATAATTCAAAGTGGAGTAGTGTTGGAATGAGTGAATCTTGTAACATAATTTCTATTACTTGCAGGGGTATGTTTGAGTTTCCTAGAGACTTTAAATACCCAAACCTATCACTTTTGAGACTTATGGATGGAGATAAGTCGTTTGAGATTCCTGAAGGTTTTTATGAAAGAATGGAAAATCTTGAAGTTGTAGCATATGAAAAAATGCAGTATCCGTTGCTTCCCAGATCACTTGAATGCTCCACCAAGCTTCGGACACTCATTTTCCATGGATGCGCATTGATGTTTGATTGCTCTGTAATTGGTGAACTCTTGAACCTGGAAGTGCTCAGTTTTGCTCATTGTGGCATCAGAGAGTTACCATCCACAATCGGAAAGTTGAAGAAGCTAAAGCTACTGGATTTGACGGGTTGTGTCAATCTTCGTATTGATGATGGTGTCTTGAAAGATTTGATCAATCTTGAAGAGCTTTATATGAGAGTTGCTGATGAAAAGGCAATTAGGTTCACAGACAGCAATCATGCTGAGTTAGCAGAACTTTCAGAGCACCTTTCTGCACTAGAAATCGAGTTCTTTAAGAACAGTGGTAAGCCCGAGAATGTGTTGTTTACGAAACTTGAAAGGTTCAGGATCTCCATGGGACGTAGTTTAGGATACAATCCTGAATTAAAGATGCACTCATTTGAAAACACGTTGATGTTGGTCACTAACAAAGATGAGCTATTGGAATCTAGATTGAATGAGTTGTTTGTGAAAACAGAGGTGCTTTTTCTAGAAGTGGATGGTATCAATGATTTTCATCAACATTCGTTTAATAATCTAAGAGTCCTTGATGTTTTCAAGTGTGAAAACTTGAGATACCTCTTCACAGTCCCTATTGCAAATGGTTTGGTGAAGCTTGAGCGCCTCACAGTTACACAGTGCCCTGTTCTGGAAGTACTTGCATATAGTGAGAATGGTGGAGATGGAGTAATTAAGTTTCAGAAGCTAAAGGTTCTATGTTTGGGTTGGCTACCAAAATTGATAGGTCTTTGCAACACTGTTAATGTAATTGAGCTACCACAGCTGGTGGAGTTGATTCTTGCGGGCCTACCTAATTTCAGTAGCATTTATCCTGAGAAAACATCTGCAACATCTTCTATGTCCAGTAATATCTCTGCAATTCAACCATTCTTTAACAAAGAGGTACATTCCTTAACCAAATTATATTCATTGGATGGTGCTATTGATGGTCAACATGTCTTAATTGTTGTCCAGGTGTTGATTCCTATGTTGGAGAAATTACAAATCTCTAGTATGGATAGTTTGAAAGAGATATGGCCTTATCAATTTACTAGTAGGGACGAAGTTAATGCCTGCATGTTGAGAAAGATTGAAGTAGACTCTTGTGATAATATTGTGAATCTGTTTCCAACCAATCCCATGTCTTTGCTGGGTCGTCTGGAAGTGCTTGATGTTTTATCCTGTGGAAACATTGAAGTGTTATTTAACATCGACATGAGTTGTGTTGGTGAAATTGAAGAGTACAGTAGCAACTTGAGACTCATTAAAGTATCTAATTTGGGGAAGCTAAGAGAGTTGTGGAGGATGAAAGGTGAAAGTAGCACTGATATCCTCATCCGTACCTTTCAAGCTGTTCAAAGGATAGAAATAGAAGAGTGTGAGGGGTTTGTAAACGTATTCACACCTACTGCCACCAATTCTGATGTGAGAAGACTTATGAATGTGAGTATAGATGGTAGGAGACCTTGTGAAGAAACCGGGAGAAACATTGAATTGGTTCAGAAAAGCAAGGAGGTATGTGATGTCATTGAGCTTTCAATTTCTATTTTGATGTTACAGAACTTATTTGTATGTGCCTCTATATACACCCTCACACTTATATGTGTATGTGTATCTACATATGTGTGAGTTTGTGCACATACATACATATACATATATACATATCACACTACAATAAATCAATCAGTTATATACAATTTTTTTATGTATTCACACTTAAAAGTGTGCCATAACAAATTATTTGTAAACCTTTACACTTCAAAATGTGGATAAACAATTTAATACTCCACATTTGAAAACATGGACAAATTACATATATACTACATTTTTAAGTGTATTGGAGAAGTAGGCTAGATTTCCTACATTGCTATTTGCTAAGTATGGATCTCTTTCAACCTTTATATTATCACTTTTACATATTTATAAGCAAGTTTTCTTATTTTCTTATTTTTGTTATTTCACTATGCTTAAGCATTTGTTTAATATTTTCTAACAATTGTAACTTCAAATATTACTTATTTACACCGCATTATTAAGAGCGATTGAAAATTAATATTTTTATATATTTCCATTAAATGCGAAGATTTTACATATTTATTCTAGGGATCAAATAAGTGATCACTCAGAAATATTGATTTATGGTAAAAGAAAAGAGTAAATATTAAAATCTCGTCCCCTTTATCTTGGTCCTCCCTCCTAGTGACCATCTCGGCTCCCCTCTATGTCTCCTTCATAAGGAATCTCAGTTCAATTGTTTGTAAATCTCATTTGAAATTTGATGTTTTTGCATCATCCCCCACTTGTCCTGCAACTTTTTCACTTACATTTAAGATTTCACTCATCTGATACCCAAAAAGTATAATTTCTTTTGGAAACATGTTGTCTGGTTTTGGATTGTGACAATATGTTGTAAGCATTGCCTTTTTTCTATTTTACTGGGTGTATGTTTTATGATACTTGTATCTTAAATGATGATTTTGGATTTCAACTCACTGAATAATGTGTTGAAGATGATAAGATATGGTCGTTGAATTTACGCTATGCCTTGCGTTTTCCATGCTTGATGATGATGAAAAATGCACCTGAGATTGTCTATGGTAGTTGAGGAAAATGATTGCAATGGAGGAAGATTGGACTGCAAAGTGTGGTAAAGACGTCGTCGACCAAGGAAAAAGGGTTGAGTCAGGACCACTTATAGCAGCAACAGATAGTGAGGAAGGTGGTGACAGACTGACAGGGAAAGAGGGGGACAGTGGGGCGATATGTGGGTGGTGGGGCCTATGGATAATTCAATGATAATTAATAATACAAAATAAAAGAAGGGAAAAATAGTCGTTTTATAAGGCATTAACAGACTTAAGTTAACGGTGTGAGTGATGGGGATCAAAATTGCAAAATGATTTTTTTTTGTAACTAAACCAAAAAACCAGATAACCAATTGTGTACATTAGTTTAAAAATGTTATTTTTACGTATTTGTGTAAGTGCGAGTATTTTGCATATTTATTGTAGGTATCAAATAAGTCATCATTGGAAATTATTTAAAATCCGTTAGTTTAATCGCTGTCAACTTTAGTTATGTAAATAGATTTAAACAGGTGTGCCGTTTATGAATAGTTAATTTAAATTTTAGTTGATGGAAATTCTGAATTATATTTGTTGTTGAGATATGTGCAGATTAATGTCATATCCAAGGCAGAGACCATTTCAGAGGTGTATGGTAATATTCCTGACGTTGAATCCTCAATCCATCCCATACCTTTTCTTAATCACCTTGGAGGACTTCATGTAAATGGCTGTAAGGATGTTGAAGTGGTGTTTGAGATAGAGAGTTTCAGTAGCAACAGCAGCAGCAGCACAGATTCCACAACAACTCTGCATAAATATAATCATCAACCACCACTACTACTTCCCCACCTGAAGTTCTTATTTTTACAAGATATGGAGAGGATGAGTGATGTGTGGAAGTGCAATTGGAAGAAACTTGTAATTCCTCAAAACCAATCAGAATCCTACTCATTCCACAATCTCACAAACATATACATGGGTTCCTGCAATAGCATAAAGTACTTATTTTCACCTCTCATGGGCAAACTTCTTCCCAACTTAAAGGATGTCAGGATATGGAATTGTGGTGGTATTGAGGAAATTGTTTCAAATAGAGATATTAATGATGAAAATGAAGAAATAATATCTTCTACTCACACAAACAACATATCCTCCTTCCCTCTTCTTGATTATCTCAACCTTGATTCTCTGCCATGCCTAAAGAGTATCGATGGTGGTACTACAATCACAACTACTTCCACCCATGATCAGTTCAAGGTATCATTACTCTTAAGTGGATCCTTTACATATTCAATTATTTCTTTTTCTATTATTCTTTTCTCCATTAGCTACGTTATATATATATATATAATATATATATATATATAGATATATATAATATATAATGGCTAGGTTATAATGTGGATGACAACTAACTATTGTGGGACGTGTGGATAATGCTATTTTATGAAAATTACTAAGAGAATATGTTGTTTAGTAATGTGAATACGTTCAATCTCACAGAACTATCGTTATTTTAATGGATTATCACCAATTCTAATTCATTTTTGTTCTCATTCATCGTTTTTTATTTATTTTAATTGTTACAGAATACGACTTAATAAACATCCGGATAACATTCTGACAGAATGAGAATAATTAAAAAAAATGTATAATAACCTTATAGACGATTTAATTAGTGAAAATGCTTAATAATTAAAATAATTATATAAGATTGAACGTATTCATATTATCAAACAACATATTTTCTTTGTAATTCTCACAGAATAGCATTATCCACATGTCCACACAATAGATGTCAATCCACATTTGAACCTAGCTCTCTCTCTCTCTCTCTCTCTATATATATATATATATATATATATATATATATATATATATATATCTTTTCATAGGTTAATTCTTCTGAAGCTGGAAAGACAAAATGATTAATTACATACACAATTCTTATAGTTTTTTTTTTCTCTTGCATAGTTTTTTAAAGAGATGTATAGATCGTAGGGTTGTAAAACATATCAAATGCATTTGTTATCCAATTTCAGTTAAATTAACTTACATACATGGCCAATTTTGGACCAGATTGGGAAGGAGAGAAAAATTGATTGAAATGATGTATATTACTCATTTCAACAGTATTGATAATTATTGTTAGGTAAAATGAATATTGGAACAAAAATGATTTTATTTATTTATCTATTTTGTTTACATGCAACCTAATGTATAATGAATGGACCTCTATTTTCTATTTAAAATACTAAAGTTAAGATTGATATTACAATATACAACCTAATGTATGGTGAATGGACCTCTATTTTCGCAATAGACACTGATATTGATAAGGAGTATTTTCCCCCTGGAGTTTACAATCAAAAATTCTATTTTCACGAATGCTAATAATATAATCTTTTCCTTTATAAACATTAGATAAGCTAGACCAAAAATTTTAGGTTAAGATGTAACACGCACAAAATATGATTTAATCAATGCAAGTACGAAAGTTTAAGTATATTGATTGCACATTATGTTTCTAATAATAAATTTAAAAGTAAATTTTTTTCATATATTGATTGCAAATTAGGTATCTAATAATAAATTTAAAATCAAAGTTATGTTTTTATATTTCTACTTTGAGGAGGTAATAGATTATACAGTCAAATGCAGTTTATTTTCTCTTCATAAATCATGGCCCTATATTAATTTTGAATTTCAATTTCCCTTGACGATATTGTTATTTACGTACCTTAGTCATGTGGGGAACACTTGTGTTTGTGACCACATTTATAAGAAGCAGTTTGTATGTGTGTAGCCAACAACTAAGCTTTGTTAATTTAAATAGATCCATTGATTTTTCATGTGTTGTTGTAGTGTTCTCAAGTCGGTGTTGCTTCTTGGTTCTTATGCCAATACTCCAAAAAGATTAAAATATGGAGTTGTCCTGCCCTATCAAGAGTGTTTCCATCCAATGTAGTGGGACGGCTGCATAAGCTTTGAAGAGTTGAGAATATGGAATTGTAAGTCAATAGTAGAGCTATTTGAAACTGAATGGGCCAACAACAATGGTGTTGATAGTAGTAATGTTGGTGATGGAAGTGACGATACATGTACTGCAATCACCATCCCAAGGTCGGCAAATATGACTCTGCTTCAATTGGCCAACCTAACGGTATTTCACATCTATGACTGTGAAGTTTTGGAATATATATTCACAAGTTCCACACTTGAAAGCCTCAAGCAACTCAAAGAAATGACTGTAGAAAAATGCAAGGCAATGCAAGTGATTGTAAAGGAAGATGGAGAGCACACAGAAAAATCTAAATCTATAATAGTCTTTCGACGTCTCCAGTCCCTTACACTAACAGATTTACCAGATCTCAAGGGTTTCTTCTTGGGGATGAATGAGTTCACGTGGCCAGAATTGGAAAAGGTTGAGATGTATGGCTGCCCACAAATGATGAATTTCACATCTGGTCACTCCATGACTCCGAAGCTCAACTACATACATACAGGATTAGGCAAGCATAGTCTCGAATGTGGCCTCAACTTCCATTTGACCAATGCTACACATGAGGTATGCTGTTACTTTAATTCATTATTTAACTAGGTGATCAACATGTCGTTTTATGATGTTCAACATATTATTTGCTTACAAATTTAGGTGGTTCGTATGTTTATTCCCGAAGGAAACACAAAACAAAACCACTTAATATTTAAATCAAGTTAGATGAAGTAAAGACAGGCTCAATTGACCCACTAACTGTGAGAAGTTTTTTCTATGTCGAGAGATGAAAATACAATAACATAATCATCTTTTTTCCTAATAAAATCAGATGTAAATATTCAGTATATGAACACAACTAAACCTAAACAAGTACATAGAAAATTACTTTTTTTAAAGTTGCAAAAACACTTGATCTTTGTATTTTTATTTTACTTCATTTTAACAACCCCCCCCCCCCCCCCCCCCCCCCCCCCCACCAACACACACACAAAAATAAACAAATAAATAAAAAGACTATAAAATCTAAATAGTTGATTGGAAATACATGTTGGCTCATTGAAGAATAATAGAACGTGCAATCATTTAATATGTTTGTATACTAAATGTATTTTTCTTTTATAATTGTCATGTTGTGATGATCTATGTTTGATTTTTCATAGCAGACTCAACTCCCTGTGTGCTCTACTCCAGATATGATAAAGCTACTTCAGTTCCCTTGGTCTTTTTCAAATTTAGTTGAAGTTTATGTACATGAGAGTTATGTCAAATTGTTGGAAAGACGTATAATTTTTCCATGCAAGGAGTTGCTTAATTCGAAGAATCTTGAAAAGCTTTCTATTACTATACAGTATGTTCAATCTAAAATAGAGGAGGTATTTGAAGTAGCAGAAGGGACAAATGAAGAAGTGGATATTGAAACAAAATCTGTTGTGGCTTTTCAGAAGCTAAAGGAGGTGACTTTGGGTGGATTAAATAATCTGAAGCATATGTGGAAGAGCAATCAGTGGATAGTGTTGAACTTTCCAAACCTTACAAAGGTGTCAATTAATAAATGTCCATGTCTTGGACACGTTTTTAGTAGTTGCATGGTTGGCAGTCTATTGCAGCTCCAAGAGCTACAAATAAGTGAGTGCGAGAGTATGGATGTGATTGTCAAACAAGTTGAAGATTCCGAAACCAGACCGACTAAGGTTGTGTTCCCTTGTCTAAAATCCATAACACTTCACAAGCTTCCAAATCTCAAGGGAATATTCCTGGGAAACGAGGCTTTTGAATGGCCATCGTTAGATGCTTTGGAAATCAAAGATTGTCCACAAATAACAGTTTTCACAAATGGGAAGTCAACTACTCCGGTGCTGAAGTTAATTGATACAACTTTTGGATTGTGTCAAATAATGGAAGACCCAAACTCTTTTATAAAGACCAAACAACAAGAGGTATGTGGTGTCTCCTTTGGTTATTATTAATAGATTAATGTTTTCTCCAACAAAAAGCTTACTAAAGATTTCTTTATAATCTCCTACAGGGATGGGAGTTCTAGAGAAACATCAAATTCACACGTTCAGTTTGGTGCTTTAATGAGCTAAAACTGAAATGGAGTTGTTAAATTGAAAAAAATGGCCAAAATATAGGGATTTTTCTGTATATTTCCCTTTTGGATTTCAACTTCCATTGTCGCGTTGTTACTTAATTAGCTTAGATGTGGGAAACACTCGTGTTTGTAATCACATTTTTAGAAACAAATGTTGTGTTAAATTGTAGTGTGTATGTGTGTAGCAAACAACTAAGCTTTGTTAATTAAATAGATCCATTGATTTTTCATGTGTTGTAGTGTTCTCAAGTCGGTGTTGCTTCTTGGTTCTTATGCCAATACTCCTAAAAGATAGAAATATATAAGTGTCATGCCCTATCAAGAGTGTTTCCATGGTCTGTAGTGGGACAACTGCATAAGCTTGAAGAGTTGACAATATGTAACATACACGTTCAGTTATCGTGTTTTGTTAATTTTAAAATGAATAATATTAAATAATATATGGATTTGAGCATTGAGTTCTAACAAGATAGTTTTATAAGAATTGAAGTAAAACTATGTTTAGAATCATTCAAAAAAGTATTAGAAGTTTTATGAGATTCTAATCAAAAGTTAAATATTGAAATTAACGAAAATATAAAGTTGGAAATAAGTAAAAATATTGTTACTGAAATTGTAGATTATCTCGTTAGAAACATTTAGGCGCAAACCTCATCGAAATCCGAGTTATAATGAAGAAGTTATGACCAATCGAAGATCCGCGACAAAACCGGCAAAACACCATTTAGCGTAAAAAGTGAGTTTTCGATAAACTACTTTTTAGCTTTAGTTATCTAAATGAAAGTCGTAGTATTCGTTAAACCAAGAATTTTCATAAAAAGAACGTCGAAATCTGACTTCGTGTGAGGGAATTATGATTTTTCTAAGTTTCAGTATAACAGTAAACAACTAAAAACTCGAAATAAAGATCGAGTGATTTTTAGCCGACACAACCTAAACGAGAATCGAAGGTCTCGTCAATAGTAGTACAACGGTAAAAAGACAGACAAAAACAGACGTCGGATGAAGAAGTTATGAACTTTTAACGGATTTTCCTGTATCGGGCTGTTAAAAATAATAATATTAAAAATATAGTCAAAATTAGCCAACGGAGTCTAAATGAAAGTTGTAGAGTATAATCTCGCCTACGCGTGCATATAAAGAACGTCGAAAACGGAGCTCGTATGCTAAAGTTATGAATTTTTGAAGATTTGGGCACAAAATCCGAGAAACTTCGCATACTAGGCTCGGACTCGGCCACGTAGCACCTTCGCATGCGAGACGCGTGTCTGGTCCGTGGCATGACCGAATCGAGCCACGTCGCCCTTCCCTTGCGAGTCGCGCTATATCCGAGCAGGTGAGTCATCCGAAGTGCAGGTCCAGTCCGAAGCTGACGCATGTCTCGGCCTCGCTTCCGACGCCTGGCCCCTCGCATATCCGACGCGTGTTCCACCCTCCCCCTTCAGCCAAAGCCTCGCCTATATAAAGGGAGGTGCGAACCCTCCCGGTTTATTTTGGAAATTTGACACTTTTTACCCCTAAATTCATTTGTAAGCTATTCCAACATCCCCCGAAGCCCCGGGATCATACCTAACACCTGAAAAACGTCCCGAAGTGCCCGAAGACCCCGAGAAATTTATCTTTTCGGTTTGAAGCTAAACCCTCACAAAGCCCGATTTTCAATAAAGCTCCTGGTTTTCATCGAAGAAAGTTAATTATAAAAACGAAGTGCTGCCCAAATTACTATTTTAACCTCCGGTTATTTCACGGTGAGTTCAATATATAGGTACAATTGTATGTTATGTGTTATATGTGCTATGTCCTTTTTCCATGTTATTATCCCGTGTTATTTTCCCGTGCTAATATGATAGCAAAGCTATACCTTTGAGCATGTGATCAGTGAAAGGACTAGTATCACAGTGGTATTGGTATGTAGCCTCTGGTTGTGTAGAGCATGTCTTGTAAGAGAATGACTTCTACCACTATGGCTAAAAGCCTGCAAAATCTACCAAAATGTTAATCAGAAATTGTATGTCTTCTTTGCCATTTGGGCCGAAGCTTTATTGATGTATATCAGGTATTGAAATTGTTATGTCTCATTGATTGTATATCTTTGAATCAAATCATCGATTGATATGGAAAGCTTGTCACACGATTCACATATGCCTTTGTTGTTCTTTGTTCCTCTTTGCCTCTGTCATATTGGTATATATATGGCATAACGTTATATTGTATCTATTTTTGAACTCACTAAGCGTCACCGCTTATCCCTCTCAGTGTTTAACTATTGCAGGTAATAAGGATCCAGTATAGACACATACTGTTGGAAGATTTAGAATAGTTAATAATATTACTTTTGTATTTAGTGATCGTGTATGTATAAAATTATTATTTCTTGGGTAGTTATATAATATACTAAAACTTAGTCGGTTTGTATCCAGTCTTTGTAATTAAACTATCAATGTAAAATATTGTTTATAAATATGCATGTAGCATGTTTTGGAGTAATATAATGTAGTCTTAGAGAGAGGTTCTTTCAATCATGGTATCAGAGCAGTAGTTTTAGTCAACTAAATACCATGGATTGGTATTTAGACTTAGACCGTCGGAAGTTCAATATATGAACGGATTCATTAGGAGTATATGGATACAAACCATAGGAAAGAAATAAGGGTAGTATTTGGATAATGATAAATCTTAATATTTTTAAAGTACTAAGCTACTTCAAAAATTTTAGAGCATTAGTTTAAACGAACTAGGAATTGTAAGGATTGCTAGGCTTAAACTTGAACTGCTAAGTAATGATGGTACGATGTGTTCCTAGCATGCCTTAAGTTGAATATCTCACTTGCTATAGTGTGCACTAGCATACTTTAAGGGAGATGCCTTATATGCTAATATGTGCTAAAAGATAAATAAAATACTCGAAAGCGCGAGCACGACTTGGAGATATGTGGTGTCACTCTTTCGAAGCATCCACGTGTCGGTAGAACTGTTTCTGTTTCTTCTATTCCATCGGCATGAAACTTTTCAAGGTGATAAGGAGACTTACAATAGTTGGCATCGATAAAAAGTCAAAGGATATCGTAAAATGAAATCTATCAATTGATACCGTAAATAGTGTATTAATACCTATAGAGTGGTGTTGTACATTCAAATTATGTTTGATGAAATAATAACACCTTTGGAGGAATGTTGAGTGTTCAAAGTACATTCAGACGAGATGAATGTTTTCGTGTAATCCATGAAGTTGTTCCACCGCTGACCAGTTTGAAGCAGTGATTGCTTACAGAGTTAGAAGAGCTGAAGATGGTGACAAATACTTCGAATGTATCGAAATTGATGTTGTGTAAGATTTAGAAGAATTCAATGAAGATCAAAGGACAGGCTAACAAAGTTTTCAGACTCAATAGGCCAAGATCTTGCCTAACATTGTGATGTGTATGCAGTTCGAGTGGTATGGTAAGAGCTGATATGTAACCCTATACAAGATGCTCCGACTTAGTATTTAATAATACCGAGTGACAATTGACTTACTATCATATTCTTATAAAAGTTCCGTATTGTGTTAAGCCGACTTTGACATACATAATTAGGATGGTTGTGAAAGGCTGAATGACTTACTAGTCAGAGTAAGGTAGAGTATATAGTTGAAGAAGATATACACTCATAGTGTTGTATGAGAAGATATATTGTTGTTAGGAATGATAGGGAACCAAGTCGAAGCTAGTAGAACATGCTGAGATGCAGTTAAAATGCATACTTTCTAGGATAGATTCCTAAGAAGTAGACTTAAAAGATACACCCATGAGAGGAAAATTTTCCCATATAAAGGAATGACGATGTCATGAAAGGATAATGAAATGAATAAATGTGCATGGTGACTTGCATGAGTTAGAAAATGATGCAGATAGTTGGAGACCGTTTGTCTCCACACTATTAGAGTAAATTCTGGTATAGTGTGTCTTGTAAAGTAGACACTATCCGAGAAAGAATTTGTATGAAGAATTTGGAAGTGAAATTCCTATTAACCTAGGAAAAGTATTAGGATATGCTAGATCGAGCTTATGCATAAAAAGAATTCTAGAAGGTGAATTTAAGAAATCCAAGATATGTTTGATAGAAACGTGAAATCCCTAGTTGAGTCTAGGAGAAATTGTTGTATATACTTGTTTGAACACATTCAGGTGTGAAAAGGTGCTTTGTGAAAACTTTTGAATGGTAACTTGGAAAACTGCGAGACAATACTTGGGACGAGTATGAGTAGGTGTGAATAGTAGTAGAGGCTTATACTACTGGAAGCATAAGACTCACACTTGGATCAAGGAAAGTCACAAGGTTACCAAGAAGCTAGAAACTGATTCCGTTTTTGTTCGAGTATGTCATTACCTTCGTTTCGGTGATGACTAAGAAAATGATTTTCATTCAGACCTTAGTGGTCATAAAGAATCGAGTCTGATTAATATAAATCTGCGAAGTGAGTTGATTGGTTCAGAGAACCATGTTATGTGGTGCGACGAAACTTCAGTCGGAAGATTGAAGGAGGAAATGGTCGAGGTAGTCGATATAAAGTATAACAGCCTTCATTAAAGGATTAAGCAACCATTAGCTAGAAATTCTACTAGTTATGAAGATATTATATCACATTAGAACATGAAGGAAGGTTTCTTCTATGATAGTGTTTGACTAATAGAAATAAGAGTATGATTCGTTCTATGTCTTTTGCGTTATGAAATCAAAGGTCATTAGAATATGACCATTCGAGTTGTTGTTGTAGCAAAAGTGAAGACCTTATCTTAGGTTGAGCCTATAACCCAAATTCATGGAGGAGTAAGAATCTGCAATGAGAATTGATTTTTCTTGAACTCGGAGATTAGGATCGAAGGCCCAATAGAGAATGAAGAACGAGTGCAGATTTGAGCACTGCCATCAATTAAGAAGTTTGAAGAGTTTGACAATCGTTTAGTTAAAGTCCGTACATTTCAGATTACCATAAAGGAGGCATACGAGGACCCAAATGTTGTGATTGGTTCATTTCTCATCAACTCTAGACTTGCTCATATATTATTTGATTCTGGTGTCTTAGATTCTTTTGTGTCTCATGAATTCGCGTATTCCTTTCAAATTGCTT